AACCTTTTCCAAGGAATTCGATGTTTTAAATTTCAATTTGACTAAAAAAATCAAATACAAATAATGGATTGCCAAAAATTTTTTGAATTATTTGAATAAAACTTTTTGTCTTCTTCGGCATTTTTTGGATAAAAATAATGGCAAGCCACGCAGTCGCTACCACCTTCAAGTCTCATTTCTTCACATTTATCAATTCTTTGTGGTAAAAATAGGTAAAACATTCAAATTTCGAACAAGAAAGTTGTAAAATAAGGAACCATTCCTTATGCAATTCATCAAACTTTACATCTTAATTGCTTAATATTTGCGAGATAAATTATTTAATTTACATGTTGGCAAAACATGGAACTTAAATAACGATATTCCAAAAGGTAAAACAATCCAACACATCTTTTCCATTTTTCAGGAAATAATTGTGAATACAATCTTGACAGTACTTGCGATTTGCTCGCTAATTGTTGCGGTATCGTTCTTATTGGAGCGGAGTGACTGGAGCCGTTATGAAAGTTATCGGTTGATGGTCGGAACAGCTGTAAGTTTGTGCGATAGATTACTTATTATATTCGAAACTAATTGTTTATAAACTCTATAAAAAGTTTGGGCAAATTTAGACTCTTTTGGAATTTCAGATCTGCTTCTTAATCCAGTCAATTGTTTGCATAATGATGCTGTCTTGGGCATTTTATGGAAATCTGATCATTGTTGAAAGCCGTTAAAGCACAGTGGAAAAAAGGATGGTAGATGTAAGATGGATATTTATATGCATACGCATTATCCATCGTAGCAATTCATTCATGCGATTTTTTTCCTTTATTTTTATAGGATACAAGGTTTAGCATCATTTCAAAACAGAAATGATGTGAAAAGTTAAGGAACAGGGAACACTAGAAGGCATTGACACATTATCACATCTTGAATGACAAACTTTGGATGAGGAAATATGTGCCTGAAAATTTTTTAGAAAAACGATAGCTTTTCATTTATTTATATTTATATTGGTTAACACTTGATAAACGATAGTATTTTGCACTTTTGTATTCTGATCTTGCTCAGTTTACAACCAATTTTGTTTCTTTTAAAAAAATATAAAATGAGAAGAGTTACTTCTTTTAATGTTTAAATGAAAACCATGATTTATATCCTTTCAAAGTGATCTGGAAACAATTTTTCTTTAAAGCAACAGCGTTAGTTTTTTTTTTTAAAAAACTAACGTTGTTGCTAGCGCTAGCAGTTTAGGGTGCAAACCCATACAAGTACCCATGTCAATGTGTGTATATCTAAAAATGTACAATTATAAGTTGTGTATCTTATAAATATTACAGTTTCATTAACGTTTCATTACTACTACCATATTCGTTCTACTTCTTCTCTAAAATTTAAATATGTGAACTAAGTGTGAAAGACCAGTTTAATATCAAGCTTCTTCTTTCGAAACTGGATGAGTCGCATCCATGTGGTTCATCTAGTTTTGAACCTTTTAAAAGAAATGCAGCTGTCCTTGATAACCATGCAGCGTTGTTACAGATGGTAGCGTATTTGATTGTCGTATGCCGAGTTAGTGAAACGTTTTGAATTGGAAAAGCGAAAATTTTTGTACTCTGGAAGCTTCAGAAAAATCAAAAACTAAACATGAAAAATCCTTTCTCAGCTCCAGAATCTTAATTAAAAATTCTTTACTCTACTTTTTGTTAGAATAATAGGTAAGATGCCGTTATTTGAACATTTCTATCTTTTAATTCTAAAACAATTTCACCTTCCGCTGCAACCGCCATACTTTAACAGACCGTCCAAATGTATTACTCCAGGCACGAATTGTTTCAGCAGTGTGCCATTATCCATTGCTACTACCATAGACTCAGTATATAACGACTTGTCAGTAATGTGAACACCACTGGGTTTTTTTTTTCAGTTGCGTCTAAAAAAGTTCAAAACGGAATTAAAGGCTGGGGTTTTCGAAGCTCTAACATGTGGCCGAATCACTAAATGCATGAAACTGTTAACACGGTTAGTGGATGGTGAGAAAAGGAATTGAATAGAATATTATATAGTTTGGTATGCTAAATAATCCAATGATGATATGATTTAATATCTTACTAGCTCAATCATGTTCGTCAGAGATCGAGCATCGTGATACGATCTCCGTCAGTTGCATATTATAATATATTTACCACTACGTGAACGAATAATTTCATCACATGTGTAAGAGCTAGGACCAATATTATTTCGGACCATGCACATGTCCACAAAACTGTAAGTTAAATTCTATTGAAATATTGGCATCATCTACCACAGCGGAAGGATATAGATGGTCATCCCAAGATACTTTGGATCATCTATTTCGATTCAAAATTACCAGCTGAAAATGAACCTTTGAACTTTTCGCGTTAAATTTGCTTCTTATTTTGATGACTGCTTTTTGCTCTCAATTAAATCGAAAATGAAAAATTTGTTTGCTTTTTTAATTAAAATAAGGATGGTGAAATGTGTACAATTTCATACGATTTCTAGCAGCTATATCAAAACGGCGCACATCATCGTAATCTCGACTAACAGCTCTATTCCTATAAAAATCGGTCCTAGATGGAACAAAGCTCCCATCGATCGGAATCACTGTGGTAGTATTTTCAATATCTTTATGAATCTGAGGGAATTTAGAATATTAATGTACCAAACTGTCTACAAAATCCAAAAGTAGCTGTGGGTCATCTCTGAAAGCTTTTTTTTCAAATAAGTTTTTTTAATGAAATTGAAGTACGTAAAGTAAAATTAATCTAAACTTAATGATAAGTGTAATGAAAATGTTTTATGATCACTTTAGAATATGCAGTAATGCTTCGCAATAATAATTTGAGAACTTTATACTTTCCTGTTTCCGCAATTGAATGAGCTATGTAGACAGTTCCATCATAACTATTATAGTTATTGATTTGGCAATTACGTTGTGTAGACAATTCCTGATAAGTAACTAAAAGTTAGAATTCGATGCAATTCACTACTCCCATTCATTCCATATAACTATTTTTTATAGCAGCCAATAAATTTTGCTATTTTATTCAAAGTTTCTCATATCCAGATTTTTTAGCATTCTTCCCAGTACTCACAGAACCACTGAATTTATCTTCGGCTGCAGAAAAAACTGCCAGAAATTAACCTAATCCATTAATTCGAGCTTCAAATTTCATAAATTCCATGATATATTTTTCCAAACGACAAGCACAAAAAATTCCTATGAATTTTCACGTAAATGGAGTTGAAGTGTTTAAATAAAGCGAATCAAAAAGAAATCCTTCCTTCCGACGAATGATAACATTTTAAATCAGAAGAGGCATTACAAATAACAACAATAGCAGGCAATGATGTGATAAGTTAATGATTAGAACTAAATGGGTAAATGAGTGAGTTACTTATTAATATTCTGCATTGGACTGGAATAAAGCAAAATTAAAATGCAGCCAATATAATGCCTGAGAATTACGTTAACGATGGAGCTGAATTGTCGAGTAGCCACCAAACTGAGATCCTTCCTCTTCGAAGTAAACATCGATAAATGAGCGAAGACAGCAATGGTTCAAAATGGGACGAAAAGACCAGATACGAGTGATGTCTGGACCTACAGCAAAAATTGGAACCGCATATTTAGATCTGATTAGCTTCTATCATTGATATTTCATCATCGTCAGCCAATTGACACATCCCACTATTGGCGATTGGCCGTAAACTCTTTGCTCAGTTTCTTCCGAAGAGAAATTCATTACTATTTGTTGATATCAGCAAAAAAATTCCTCTCTTTGAATGAGAACATCTATTCACCTTTCATCCTTCATTCAGTCCGAATTTGTATTTAAAATTTTGTCAAACAGCTGATCAAAATAAAGCCGTTTACAGCTTATCAAAATGGGAAACTTCGCACTACAACGTTTAACAATCACCAACATGCAACATTCGGTACCATACTAAACTTTTATTGCTGACATAAAGCGAGAATTTGCAGAAATAACGAATTTGAAACGACATATATCTGTGTTTGAAACAACGTAATTCGGCATTAATTGTTGCAATTTTTCATGAAAATATGGTGAAATACATTAAAAAGCACTTAACGAATAAGCGGAAAGAAAAGAGAAACGGAGTTTCAGTGCCATTTTGCAAAGGAAAGAGGACACTAACGGTACCATTCAAAAAGTTGATAATATATGGTTCAAATTTCAGTCATATGACTTTCCCAAATATTTGTTTGAAGTTGGAAATAGAACAATAAAACAGTTGCAAAATGGGAAAATAGCAGAACAAAAGTGGACAAGAGAAAAAATTAGTGGACAAGAAAAGAAATCATCTACTTCACGAAAGAAGTGCTAAAAAAATATCCGTCTCAATCATATAAAGAAGACCGTTAGGTAGAGAAAAGATTGTCTAGGCATCTCTTCAAGGAAAAAATCACATTTGTAAGCCTAATCCATAAAGAAGCTTAACTTATGAACTACTATTTGGGAACAGTGTAATGAATTTTATCAGAACATCGATAATACAGCATAAAATTATTTTACATAAAATGAAAATTCATAAATGAAAGGTGTGAATGATGACTGGACAACTGAGAAACATGAATAACCGCGTCATGCAATGACCAATCAATTTCTAAGCAATTTGCAAAAAGACAAAACCGGCAACATCTTCATTAAAGTTTTTAAAACGTTCTAAAACAACTGACAGCTAAGCGAATTTTACACATAAATGATCCCAATTTTTCTGTCCATTCTCGAAGAGAATTCCCTAAACCATTGCATTCCAAACAAGGTCATGCAATTACAATGACATGTACATCAATTAAAATCAAAAAATTGTAAGCCATTCATATCATCAAGCTGAGTAAGGGGAACATGTTTTGAAACCCGCCAAAACTGTTTTGATTCAATCCTGCATTAAATCAACTCGTAACATAAACTGGATATGCGATTATTCCTTACAGTTCGATGAAAACAAGTGCTAAGAATGGCATATTTTTATCTAAGATTGAATTTGATATATGGAATTTCCACATCCTCATCATCTTTATTATTGGCTATTACTTCGAGAACAATTGATTGTACATAGTCTGGAATCTTCTTCCTCGTTACTTCCTCCACAATCTCTTTCATACTGAAAATTAGAAGTTAAAAATTATTTATCCTTCATTGCCATTACTTTACCCACAACATAACAAACAAATGCAACGAAAGCAAACAACTTTACTAACAAGTTTGCAATAAAGATAGAAACTTCGTTTTCAACCCCCAAAGTACACAATTTCTCTTATAAATATGCAGAAGAAACTCACTCTTGCTCCAAGCGCTCCTTTTTTTTATCATTGCTTAAAAAAAAGCTGTAGATGAGTGATACTCCACATGACATCATCGTTACATCTAATCCTGTTTCGTCCTGTAAATTTCGGGTATAACACATAGATAATAAAGCCATCTTTGGACAAATATTTAAAATTTATTGGCCTTTAAAACACCAAGAAATTTCAGGAGGTCACAGCTTAAAAGAAATTCAACAAGCATGATCCATAAAAATGACTAAAATTAGCAAACGAAAATTTCGAATGTTTCGTAATCAAATTTTTTAGGTTAGTGTATGTAAATATTCCTACTAAAAATATTCAACCCAAAGTCTTTTTGTAATTCTTTGGATCAAATATTTTGGGAGAAAATTAAAGTGCACGAAATATGCAACTTACCTTTATCCATTGAATTAATTCTTTCATTTTCTTCGGTCCTTGTATTTCGAATCTGTCCCATAATGTGAAACATCCATCCGCACACTACAATACGAGAAAAACAAGCATAATGTGAAACAGAAGCAGTTCAAAAATTCAAAAAGCAAACATCATGTTCGAAAAACAAATGCGAAAAAAATCCAAAACCTTGAATCCTACCTTCTTCTTTGGCGCTGCGATTGGTTCCGAAAATCCAAAAAATGGCAAGGCTAAATTCAAAAAACCGTTCTTGAAACGTTCCAACGGAACATTCGATAATATATGTCCATTAACAATCATTTTATACAGCTCAATGCAGACTAATCCAGCTACAACGGCTGTTGTCGTCGCTAAAGCAGGAATGATGCGACCAGCAATCTGCTTCGTCTGAATTAATTTCAAATTTGCCTCAAACTTTTAAACATTTTCCCTTCTCGAAAACTCTCCTGATAGCGAAAGAAAACACAGATCGTATTAAATCGTATATCCTAGAACACAAGAAAAAATAAACAAAAATTGGATAAGTGGAAAACAGTCCATGTTTAAAATTTCATACAAAATTTTCGAATCCTTACTTTCATGACATCTGCTGGGGCGATTTCATAATTATCAGCGCGTAAATTTGAAGCAGCAGTAATAAATTTCATGTGATGATTAGTGTCATCATCTTTTTCAAAGTCTATTGGAACCAATGACTTCGTTGTTTTTTTGTTCAGTTTAGCTAAATTCATCATAACCGATTGCAGTTTTTCATCAACGTCATCTAAAATATGTGACTTCAGAGCCAAAAACTGAAAGCAATAGAGAAAGTGGGAATTCGCTTTCTTAAAACTTTTCATTTGCTCGGTAAAGAGAAAAGCATGTTTACCATCAGTTACTGCTTTTTCTTCTTGTTTTGCTTCAGCTTCAGTGACAGCTATCTTTATATCTGACTTTGGCATGAAAGGCGGTGGGCGAATCTGAAACATAACACATCCCGATGAAAATGTAACTTTCACCGAAACAGTAAAAAAACTCTCAAATCTTCATAGTCATTTTAAACTTACTTCATTCAAGTAAGTCAAGAACTTCTTTTTGTCAGTTATCGGTGTGATACCGTATTGTTGTGCTCGAAGGATAGATGCAGCCCAAACAAAATTGAAATGCTCTGGCTAGAATATGAAATTACAAGACGATTTAAACCTTTGAAAAAAATTATAATAGTTGAACCTTTTTTAAGGGTATTGAATAACAAAGAGAATGTTATCATTCGTCAAAAAAAATATGACAGTAGATATACTGTCGTATTTTATAAAATAATATAAAAAATATACATAATATAAAAATATAAATAAAATATAAATAAAAAAAATAATATAAAAAATAAAAAAATATAAAAATAAAATAATATTTAAAAAAGTATAAAAAATACGAAATACGACAGAGTAGACAGTAGATATGTCTAAGCCATAATTCATTCAACACTAAAGAATTCAATATATTCTTCTACTTCATTTTGATATAATAGATTTTTACCTCATTTGGATTGAAATCCAGAACATGTGGACAACGTTTACTACCTGACCAAAATTTAATCCCTTGTTCGGTCACTTGATCAGGCGGGAACATATGTAACAACTGGGCAATCATGTTGTGGAAGTATTCCTACAAATATAAAAAAAAATTAACAACACCTAAAAAAGTGATGTCAGTTCTTCAGCCCCAATTAATTTAAGCATCGCAGAATATGCAAACCTGGAAATTCATCCGGGCCCATTTTATGCACTCTTCTGCACTATGTGGTCTTTCGCTGATCAGAGCTTCTTCTACCTTAGACAATATATGCAGCTGAAATTAGAAACTTGATGCAACATGAAGGAAATTCACAAAGTAGACTTGCAAAAAGATTCCAACAACTTTTAATGACCTCTGCTCAATCCGTTATAAATTTTGGCAGGAACCTTATAAACACACTAAAAATTCATTTCGTCACTGAATGAAACATATGAAGATAGCTAACTCGATGAGCTGTGTTCATTTGATCAATCCGCTGCAGGAAGCCGCGTTCATCAAATATGAATTGATTTGCTGTTTCTGCTGGAGTTGTGAATAAACCTTCAAATAAATCTCGTGCCCACTGTATGGTGTGCTGAATTTCATTGGGAAAATTCTTCAGTGTACAAATTGGAATGTCTTTTTCCGGTGGATCGACGGATGAACTAAAAAGTGAAATTAATAGAAAATAAAAAAGAAGTAATAGAAGCATAAACGTTTTACGCAAAAAAATGTCGTGATCAACATTACCCTAAATGTATTACAATGTTTTGATTAAAGATCAAGTCAATCTGTACCTGCTGATTTTTTGGATGCTGAAAAAACTGGTAAAATTAATTTTAAAAAGTGATTCGGTAATAATGTTACCCGTAAGATTCAGTAAGATGAGGATAAACCACTTGCGTATTGCCCTTTGTACCCATCGTTCCAGAATCAATCAGTGGTAAACGATAGTAAATACAGCGACGATCCACATATCGCCCTAGAATTAAGTAAGGAATTTCCGAAAGTTAACGAAATTCAAAACGAGAGCAACAAAATGATAGGTAGAAAAATCTCTGTTCACAAAAAAGTATATTTAAAAAAGAAACCGCATATGACAGACGAAATCAGGTAAATACAGCAATTTCGGAATGTTCCCGAACCACATTTTAGCCATAATGTTACACCATGAAAAATATGTATGAAAAAATAAAGTATAACAAACGTGCATCAACATTGTCGAGCGCATTAAGTACACCGTTGAGATCGTTGAAAAAATCATCAGTGAAAATGCTTTCTGTCTCGGTGCCAACACGTTCAGAAAGAGCATCAATTTTTATATTAGGATTGAAAACTCTTACTGCTTTAGCAGCCACCTCAGACTTTTTACTCTGAAAAAAACTTCGATCTTTATAGGAAAGAAACTAAGCAGAGATTTTTCCAATCTCAAATCTGAATGCTGGAGTTGACAGAGGTATTTAATTTGTACAAGCATTACAAATCCTGGAAAACTTACGCCAACATCACTTCGCCTAAACAAAAATTGTCGATTAAGGTTACTGATTTCAATATGATCCATATCTGTTATTTTCAGTTTACCATCAGGTCCACATGCTAAACCCATCGTGGCCAAATTCTTCAGTAATTCACAACCAATTGCACCTGTAATGGATCAGAATAAGTATTTGTGTTAAACTCACAAATAGACAATACATAAAACAAAAGCTATCGAAAAGACTAGTCCCAATAAAAAAATTCAGTGATTTATACCTGCGCCAACAATGAAATATTTCTGTTTTAGAAGTGCTTCCTGATAAGCTCGTCCAAAGACAGCAATCTGCCCATCATACCGACAATTTCTCTGTAAATAAGTAGATGTCGAGTAGAATATTATTACTTTTATTGTCGAAAACAAGGATAATAAGAAATTACTTCTACTGCTTTTGATAAATACCTAAACTGCTCTAAGAATGACACCTTTAATCAAGATCCCTATTATTTTCGTTTTTTTCACCCACTAGTTTTCATAAACTGGGTGAAACTCAAATCCACTTGACTTTAATTTCGGAACCTAACTACTCGTAAATAGCGAACCGAAACTGTACACTCAAAATGTCTGTCGAAATCCATCAAATTTACATGAAGTTAAAAGAATACTATTTCGCAATCAATAGCCGTTAGCTTGCTATTATCGAAAGGTGACCAATCGCCTGGCAATGCTTCTATGCAATCAATGTAAAGAAACTGCTTCAAAGGGGTCATATGATGCATAACAGCTTTCATTGCTTCCTGCGCAGCGATACCACCAACAATCGATGCAATAGGTGCAAGATTACCACAAGCCTTAACAATTAATTCTATTCCATTCTGTCTAGCTGACATGTCTGTTAGATCATGAACGAAAAGCATCTTTCCTCTATATATTAGCAGATCAAAACAAAGAACAATGAAGGGACAAAAGTGAAATTTGGAACTTACATCCATGAATTTAAAATTCTTCTGTAAATTCGGAAGATTTAAAAAAACCAGTGGTTTGGCAAATAACTAGAGAAAATTTATTATTTTTAAAGAAATAATTTGGAAACAACCTGATAACTGAAATTTCTTAGCAACTTTTCATCTGACTGAGCACCAGGCGGAAGTTCAGTTTTGAGAAGTTCAACATCATCATTGTTTCGTGGCATAGGACTTCGTTTATGCTAAATTCCAGTCATAAAGCTCAGATATGGAACAAAATTCTTATCCCTCTTAAAAAACAATTTTCTAAAACAGAAGCTAAAAATAAATGTTTGAATTCAAAAATTCTAATAAAAACATTTATCGTTAAAAGACTTTTCGGTATTAAATATTTCCAGTGATCACTAGTTGCTTGTAATAAAACATAAGGTTTGTTTCACAACTTAAAAAACAAATATTGGCAAAAATTAGCAATACCTTAACTTCAAAGGAATGCAGTGCTTGCCACAAGGCATGAAGCTGGGAGGAACTTTCGAATTTCGCAAAATCCCACATTAATATATCGGGTTCATTAAGTGATTCTTTCAGCGATTTATGAAAAATCGTAGAAGGCACTTTAACTTGTGTAAAACGTCCACCCTCCACATAAGGTGAGAAGTCGGCAGCAACTTTCCCGATATTGAACACATCTGGCTCTAAAATTTTATTTAACCAATGATAGCACTTATGAAAATTAATATAACTTTAACAAATAAAACGATTCGCTTTACAGCGAGGAGAGATAATTTTATACCAGTTCTTTCTTAGCATAGAAAAGACTTTGAGGGAAGAATTAATCTGAGATCAAATAAATAAAGCCTAATCCAGTATGCATAATTTGAACAAGATCTTAAACAAAAACATAAAACTAACTTTTAACTGTAATTCTGAGTGGTTTAATACCATTTAATTCAGTCATCCCTCTGACTTCCGAAAACGTTACGTAATCGCCATCCTCAAGACCATGCATTACATTATCTAACGTTGTTACATCGCCTGTCTCCGCATCTACGTGTTCAATTAGCGACTAAAATCGATCATTTATTACAAAACAATGGATTAAAAAACATTTTAAAAATTTTCTAAAAAAAAGCAAAATAGAGCCCAAACTTACTTCTTTACATCGCTCTCCATTTAAATCATTAACTTCAAACTTCGGACCTACGTCGACAAATATAAAGCCGAATAGTCCTCGGGCGTCAGCAGATATGAAACAACGATTGTGCTTACGAGTCCAATCGTTCACTAACAACTGCGTGGATAGCGGTGCATCAGTGAGCACTATTAACTGAAATGAAATGTGTGGTAAACAAACGAAAACTAAAGAAATAATAGAAAAATGAAGCTACGAAGCTTACTGACTAAAGAAATTTCCACAAATTTGTATTTCAAATTGAGAAAGATAAAGTTTATATACAGCACCGATGCGTCTCATTGATTGAAAAATGAAAGAAGAAACACAACATACGTCAAACTGCTTTATAAAATTTTCACTAAGTGGCTCCATAGAGAGATGACAAGTGACACTGTCATTTAATTCGGCCAAACGTTCAAAACTTGCTTCCGCTCGATTTCGTCCAATATCCGATTCTTTTAAGTAATACTAAAATAATTCCTTTCACAATCATTGGTATAACTATAATTTCAAAAATTACCAGCAACTAAATTATCACGTTAATTATCTCCTTTTCAGATTTCTACGATTCTTTGAATAAATCAATTTCTGGCCAAATTGTTTTAAACTGCCTTGATTCTCGTCCTTGGATAATACAGCACGATAATCATCTAACTATACATATTGCAGTTTACAGTACCATTAGAAACTAACCTGTGCGCTCAAATCCAACCATTTCGTATCACGCGTGTCATGAATTGTTACTTGACGGATACCACCAAGAATCAAATTTTTAGCGGTTTCTACACCGACTGAACCAATGCCTGATATCAGTACAGATGCCTTTCTCAAATGCATCATCGCTGATTCGCCCAGAGCATAACTAAAATTTTTTTTCGAATTTCCAAAATTCAGCAGAATTTTGTTTTAAAACACTGAATTGGAATTACTGGCCCAATCCTCTCTATTTTATCCTGATTATTTTATCAAAGAGCATAGAAAAACTAGTAAGGGGACAGGGCCTAACAGTTTAATCTATTTAACAATCAAAAGATTTATATTCGTCAACGACCTTTGAACAAGCAAGTAACGTACATTTGTCGCGAATAAAGATTTTTATCCAGAACAACATCACTATCACCTGCCATACCATTTTCACTGTTTACACCCATTTTTGCAGATTCGGTCAGTGAATCGATTTCGCGCTGAAGAATTGCATTCTTGCAAATACTTTGGAAGGAAAAATGAATTTGCAAAAAATTGAATGTTGATGGGAAAATTTTTTAAATATAGTTCAAACTCTGATAATAATAGCAAAAATAACATCAAGCCATAAAAAGGATTTATAACAGAAATGAAAAAGCGTCCACGTCTAATTAATCTTCCTCTTGAGCACAAATTACGAATCATTCTCCTATCAAAATCAAAACTTCGCAGCCCTCGTCACAGGATGAGAGGGGTTTGTCAGAATGAGAGCGTAAATGTGTGAATAATTTTTTTAATCTATTTAACCATGTTTTCGAAAATTCTGATATTTTTGAAATTGGAATGCGAATGGTGTGATTTATACTTTGTGCAGACACTGCACATCGGCATTAACAAAATGTTTTGAAACTAATAAACATATAATCACACTGTAAAACAATTTGTAAATAGTAGTTCCACGACGAATGAGTCTTACCACAAGTGCACTGCTCGGTGTTCTAGGATTTGCCCATATACAAATCTTATATTTGCAATTTTCTCGGCAAGTTTAAAAAAGCTAACGGAGCTGGAGAGTTTACAAAGATAAGATAGCAAACTGAATCTTATGCAAATAAAACAGTTATGGAGAGATTAGGAAGACCTTAAAATCGAAATATAGAGATCTGTAATGATATATCTATAACGATATATGGATCTTACATTCAAATTTTTTTCAAATGTGAGATATTCCCTCCTCAATACTGAGAGTAAAAGCAAAATTTAAAATAATGCAGGATTTGCCTCATCATTTGTGATATTCGTAAAATATAAGCTTCTCTTCGTCTTGAGAAATATTTTATATCGTACAAAGGATGCCGGCAACTAATTTTGACAGTGCATAGGGCAAAATTGCACACCATCAATACAATGAACAAAACATAGAACGTTCGTTGGAAATAATGATGATAATGGGGGAACACCCCTTCTAGTAACTAATTTACGAAAACTTTTTTGAGTCCGTAAATCCCATTTTCTTTCTAGATCTATTATACAAAATATTAAGTTGATCTAATTATGGAAGAAACTATTAAGTAAATATGAGGCAGTTACAGAGGCATGGAAAGGAAAGTACATTAACTGCATTTTAACAACACTAACTTAGATTCCTTTTAAATCAGCACTCAATTACTTCAACTGAAGCCATTCTATAACAAGATGATTCTTGTAAAAAACCCATAAGAAATGATGTGCACACCGCTACGCTGCATTGGATAATCTGTCAAGTATAATTTCGAAAAACATCGTAAGTAATTACAGTATAGAACTTAATTAGAACTAAACAATAAAATATGTTTAGGGAGATAATAAGCTAAATTTCCAAGAACATAGTCGTAAATGTCAAGAAGATTCAAACAGCTCAATGATAAAGAGAATCTTATGATTAAATAAAAAATATCAAATCCTTGTAAGCAAATCCATTTCGTTTAGAATCTAGAACATAGTCGTAAATGTTAAGACATGCACAACAGTGAAAGGTAAAAAGAAATATGGTAATGTTTTTTGTATCACTCAGAGATAATTATTGATAAATGGATTATTTCAACTAATTTGTCATCCTTTCCGCATCATCCTTATCCTTCCGCCAAGTAATAACTTTCCAGCATTCATCTAATTGTGAACTAGAAAAATACTTTTCCACGTCTTGCTTTAATTGTTTTCAAATACACTAAATAATCTCTATACATTTCATTCCCACTTGAAAAGAAAGATCAGTGCTTCCCGAACGCTGCTTGGTGATACAAAATTTATCAACTTTCAGGTGCCGAACTCCTGAGTATGACTATTAATTCCCAGCACCTTTGTGTTATGTTACAATATCATTCAAATCGGATTAATTTATGAAAAGAAAGCGGTTGATCTGTTCTCTTTTTAAATTTTCCATATGTAATAATTATGACAGAATTATTACATAAAGCATGCATTTTTATGCATCTTCGTTGTAACATAACAATCAGGTTCTCCACTCCCAATGCATTAGGCATGATGCAGACGTATCTAGGCTATGATCGCTCGATAACAGCGATTCGCTTTCTTCAATCACCCAACAAAATCTACATGATGAAAAAAGATTTCAAAATGCGGTTTGAAACCTTTTTTCATTATGTAGATTTTTTTTTCACTAACAAGTGTGCAATATTATAAAGTTGTAACGAACGATTTTATATATTAGCCGACTTATCCCACCAACTGCAAAAAAAGAAACATCACACGAAGGATGAGAATATGTCGTATGAAGTCGTCTAGCCCAACCTAATGGCTGCATGTAGGTAAAATTTTCTGATTTATTCTAGAACCACAGGGAAAAATTGCGACTTGTGAAATAGCTTTTATCATATTTTAAAGATATAAGAAATGCGAACCTGCTATATTTTACGAGGAAAGAGAAGTTGAAACCAAAAGCTACTTTGGTCTTTCATATTTATTTGTGAACAAATACAAACTTGCGCAGCGCATTTTTAATGCTTCATCAGAGAAATGTTATGTTCAATTGACATTCTTTGGATCCACAGAAAATCTGGTTCATATAAATTATTTAATATGACACTTTCGCATTACTGTACGCATTCGTATTTCTTTGGTTCAACCATCAGTTCAAGCATTAAGACGAGCAGCAAACTTCCACTTTTGTAAAAAATGTAATTACAGAAGAAACCACCAAAAAATTTTAGGAAAATTCAGTATTCAGTCATAAAAACTACATATGTGGTATTCAATAAAAGGTCAAACAAAGATAATGTTAACAACCAAAAAATGATTCCTTCCATTCTCAAAGATACATAATCTGACAAGCTTACCTCCTGAATTCTCGGCCGTTTTTTGGCTGGTCCAGGCAAAAAGGGCTCCTTTCTGTTTTCACTTGCGGGATCACCCGAAAACATCAAGTCCTGACAGATACACTGAAATAAAAGGACTATATACTGTGTTGCTATTTCACGATGTGCAGCACATTATAGGATAACTACCATAAAAATACCTGGAAACATCAATTTTTAACATAGATAGCCTAGATGTGTTTCATGATGGAGATAAAGAATGAAGAAATTTTGAAAGTCACGATAGTCAGACTGATGAAATCAGCGCATCTTGAAAACAGTAAGTCAAAATTGATTTAGAAGACCTCATATACTCTAATTTCGCTTAAAACTATAAATCTACAAAACGAAGAGACAGATAAGTGGTTTTTTAGCGGTAGAATTCTAACAAACTTATCTATTTCGTAACAACGTTCACACACGCACATTAATATATACACACTTAAGGGTCTGAGATAACTTCCACAAATCTTTGGAAATAATTTTCACCATGTTTCATATGTACTACTGGGTTACTCAGTGAAATGCAGTGGTAATGCAACTGCATGCCATTAAAGCGCCACAGTAACTTCTCAAAAGATCGAAAGTCTGCAGTGGACATTTTCTGCAGTGGACATTTTACAAGATAATCAGACTTCCTGAATTCGAACCTTCAGAATCTATTTAATCAAAACATTACAAGTCCTTCTGATTTGCTCGAAACCTTTAAGAAACCTTTGCTTTTTCAGCTTGTCTGATTAAATTGTTATCTTTTACGCAATAGCCAAGCTTGATTTCACGGTAAGTAACAGCTTCCATTCTTTTAAAAGTCAAGTCAAATGAAACAATTGACCGACTCAACATTTACAAACAAATCAGGCATTACCGATGGAACAAGGCAGATGTCTTTCTAATAAAAAACATAGATCACAATTGTCAAAAAGATGAAATTGACCTGAACCAATCGCTTTTCGCCCGCACTCTTCTTGCTCGTTAATGCGTTTCTCGGAGTTCTGCGGACAATTCTGGAAATGGATGGATGAATGGCTATGAACTTTAAACTTTGCTTCACCATCTATGTCCCAGTTATGCATCCTTAGAGAACGAATTTTTTGAATATAACTTTAGAAAATTCAATGCCACAGGTTACTCCATCACCTTATCACGCAAATCTGATAAAGTAGGAGACTATTGTTTGGAAGAATTTACCAAGACCTTACTGCACTTCCATTTCTACACGGTCAACCCCGGACGCACCGCAGTGCTACCGACCGCATCGCACTTATTCTTCTACCGCAAGCGGAGTAGTCGTTGCATGTTTTCCCCATATTGCTGCAGCTCAAAAGTAGAATTACTTATGAAAGCTTTTTGATAAGATATTTAATGTAATCTCAAAGTTATTGAGTTCCTTTTACACTACACGCTATTGAGAAATCCACTTATAGTACTGACAGTTAATTGTCAGCTTGCTATCAATACGTCATGTACGTGTGTAAACTATGCATGTCCCTTTCGTTCACTCTTTTTTTCGGGCTTATTTTTGCCGTATTATGTTGGTTATAAGTGTGTTTTGCTTGTTTGCTTACTGAAGTAAACTTTCCTTTGATATAGCAATTTACAGAAGGCGTGCACTTTGACTGACAGTAATAAAAATCGTGCTGATATAGTCAGATTGTACGCTTTTCCTATAATCAGAAGATATTAAAAGGTGGAGTGAATAAATGAACAGAAATAGAAATCGATAATCCGTTTTTGATTCTTTATTGATTTAAATGACCTTAACAAATAATTAAGTATAGCGAGCAGTTCCTTTGTACCACAGAAATTTTTTAAAGACTGTAGGCTTCACTGTTGAAAAATCATTCTTAAATTTTCTGTAAATGATGATATCAGATCTTCTCAATGGAAGTTTAAAAGATATTAAAGTGAAGTTTCATTAAAATTCCTGCAAACCAGAGAATTTAAAAGAAAAAAAGTAGCATAATGTGATAGCAATTAATAATTATATCTGCAGGCATTGTTATGTTAATCTATTATTTTCAAAAGTAAGAAAACGTTTGTAAAATGATTTGTGAAGCACAAAACAATTTTTATTATGCCTAAATTGAAGATTTGAGCAATTGATATAACGATTAGTATCGTTATCAATTTGTGCAGAGTGTTTTAGAAAACACGGTATCTATATTTTTAAAACAATTAAATTATTAAATATATCTTAGTATATCTTAAAGCAATCATTAAATATACCTTAGTCATATATCTTTATTTCTTCATGAACTTCTGCTTTCAATAATTACCCATGATTGTGAAAAGCAATTAGATGTTATTAATAGCAAATATAAATGATAATAGTAATAATAATGATAATAATATGAAATCAAACTATTCATGCATTTAATAAATGCTTTACACACTCTGATAATAAACTATCGCTGACGATTTTTTTTAATTTCCTGAATATTACTTTATGACTTAAATTTTATCTGTACTAAAAAATATCGCTCCATTTTATTTCCATAATCTATGATAAAGCGTTATGCGGATAGTTTGATCTCATTCAATTTACAGGAAACTCTTACTTTTGGAATATTTAATTCGAGTTTTGTGATATTTCTTCTCTTTTCTTTGGCACTGTAATTTAACTGAAAACGATTAATGGAAATGTGAACGTAAACTGTCTGAAATGATAATTAGTTTGGCATTTGAAGAATCTTTTGTTTTTATAAATTTTCTTTCGTTTGTTTTGTTTGTTAAAAAAAAAATAAAGAATTGTTACTTTTTCATTGATTGAAATGGTTTGTTTGCAAAAATTAAATTTGCTGTACTCAGTGAGATTGCAATAACAATTCTTTTAGAGATAACTTACATGAAAATAAAGCTAACATTTAACTTTTATCATTTAAATTATACATATCCTTTTAATATTCTAAGTGGTCAAAACATTCTTCAAATTCCTGAAATTTTTAACAAAGAATAATTTCATAAATTAGTTGATCCTAATTTGGATCTTAATTGTTTGAGTTGAACCGATTCTGATTTAAACGTATAAATTAAATTTTCACTTTGATCTTCTTGTTAGAAAAACCACTGTCATCATCATCATCATTGGGTCATTTGTTGTTCTGTTCCAACCTTATCCCTGACAATATCCGCTTGTTAATTTTGTTACAGTACGAGAAGATTGCCAAATTTGAATTTATGCTAAAATTCAATTTCAAATGGCTTTTGAAGTGAAAAAACTCTATAAAAATTATTCAGTTAGTAGTTAACTTTTTTCGTTAATTAATTAAACTGCTTACTGTAATTACTTGTTGGTGTAAAAGAAGCAAAAAAAATTTTTTAATTATTGGAATAATATTTGTAGGGAATGAAAATGTTACATTTAAATAAACAGTTTGTAATTGATAAACGATGAAACAGTTGCCATGACAAGTTTCAGCATATATTTATCCGTTCTATTTCCTTAATGTACGTTATACATTTTTATCTTTTTATTTCATTATAGCAATATTATTTAACATTTTTATATGTAAAAAATTTTTAGGTCAATTTCTGATTTAAAATTTTAAAAATAAGAAAAATTTAGTGTTGTTTTCTTTATTAGGAAAATATTGTATTAATTTGAATACAATTTATGTTATTCAAGTGATCTTCATTCATTAAAGTAATTTGTAAACTTTTTCCATTCATTGATCAATCAATCATCATTCATATCAGCAGATCAAAGATAATCACAAATCTTGCTCAATATTGATAAAGTATGCTAAGATCAATCAAATTATGCCGTTTATGAAAATTGATCCTAGAAGGAACCACAATGTTTCAATAATTCTCTGAAATTGATCTTCAAATAAGATGATTATTCAAGATATAAAATGTTGTTCAGGTAAAATTGCACAAAGATGTTTTTTGTTCAACCGTGACTAAAAATTTTTTTGTTTAGCTGCTGTTAAATTTATTTAGCTATGGCTAGCTACTCTGCTTTTAGTACCAGCTGGTGGACTATTTCTGGGACAGATGTAGGCTTAAGAAGTAAAATGATTTCCTTAAAAAGTTTCTTTGTTCCTTTTAATTCCTATTTTTTTATTATCATATCAAGAAGCTTTACATATGCGCAAAAGAAATATTAAATCCAAAGAAATTATATTAATTCAATAATTATCTAAATTTCTTCTTATTAAATTTAGACATTTCAAATTATTCTTAAATTTATGTTTTGTTTTAATCATACGAAGATTTAATTACACATCAAATTTTAAAATAAAATTGATTATAGAATTTTTGTTAACATATAATTATTTATTTAAAAATCAGCCATTCATATAAATATAAATTACCATTAATTAAAATATATTTTCTGTAAGGTTTTTGCTAACGAAATATAACTTTCATAGGAAAGTTCTGTACTTTTTTAATGTTTGGCTTTGATGATGAGAATGTTGCATGTAAATATTCCTTTAATGATTTCCTCTATCCAACTTTATCAAATTTAGAATAGGATGACAGTAGAATATTAAAAAATGCTGAAGTCATCATCAAAAGACTTTGAAAAAGAAACTTTTTCTATATCTGTTCATAGATTGATCTCTAATCCTAAATTTCAATTTTTGTTTCGAATTTAATCCATTCCGAACAACTGATTGCTAATATATATACATATATATATATTAAATTTTCAGCTTCTGAAGCTTTTTTTTTGTTGATATTTTGACTTTTGTTTGCATTGACGGAATAAAATCGAAGTGTTAAATTTCATTGAAACTTAGCACAAATTTTTAACCAATGAAAAATTTATAGTTTTAAAGAAGAAGAAGAGAACAAGCTTACTTTCATGACACCCTCTTCTTACTCATTTTATTATTTTAACTATGTAATTCATACCTTTCCCAATATATTTTGAAAATGCATAATATTTCCAAAATTTTCAAATTGTCAGAAAATGAAAAAGTACAACATTCTATGAGTGAATAAAAGAAATTCGTTGAAATTAACTCCCACGCTATTTTTCTATTATTTAAATGTATTTGTTTAAATTTTTTTAATGATAAATTAGTAAACAAATAGAAATAAATATCCATGAATTCTTAAGCATTCTTATTTAGATTTTAAAAATTATTATAATTTTAAAATATCATATTTTTAGCATTAACTTATTAGCTATCGATTTCAGCAAACATGAATTAAATTTAAAATAGAATCGATCATTAGATTAAATAGTAGTGATGAATTTAAAATAGAATCAATCATTGGATTAAATTTATCACTACTATTTAACAAATCATATTTTCTGATATTTCAATATTTTATAGGTGGATGTTTATTTATAGGCAATATAATCAATATCAATATACCTAATCTTTTTTGTTTAGCTTCATTTATCATAGAAAGTTTAGTTTGTATTTTTTTTAAACAATCTCTCCTATTACGGCTTAAAACTCTGTCTGTTATAAAATTCAAATTACCCAAAAATATTATCTATCATTTTTACATACATTTTAACAAAAAATTTTAGTGATAAGCGTAATTTGTAATGATAGACATTATTTGTTGGAATGATAATATTCAAAAGTACTAAATGATAAAATGCAACTTTTTACAACATCTTAATATTAAATTATTTTAACTCTCCAACTTAATTATTCTTTACTTTTAATCATTTCGTATTCTTCTAAATGCAATCTTTTTTTGTTCAAAATTAAAAATGTGCTATGCTCGTTTGTAACTTGTCATTAGCACTTGAGCCGAATGATAGAAATAAATTTGCGATTCAATTTTGCTTGGTTAATTAGGATAGATTTACGATACTCATTAACAGTTCCATAAATTTGGAGGTTAAAAATGTTTAGCACTTGTATGAAACCTATTCTATACATCTTTTTCAATATACGTAGCTTAGATGAAATCAACACTTGCTCTTATTATGTACTTCAATCTGAAATCAAATCAACATGAAATCAACAATCAATTAATACTCAATATTTTATTGATCTATTGCTTCGAACTGATTGCATCAGAAATTAAAAAGTAATTAATATGAATGGTTTCCATATTGATATTATCATGGTCCAAATTGTTTTTACACTTTAAAAAATTTTTGAAAAACAGGACGAATCACTTTTGTAAAATAATGCTACCATAGCCGTTAGAATTCAATACTAAACAAGTCTTACAAAAGTTTGCATTGCTAATAAATTATTGATTAATCAATAATTCATCTTCTTCTCATTGATCAAAACCACCGTTTTAATCTGCGGGGTTATATTTTATGGATTCAATTTCTTCGAAATTTTAATAAGTTTTTTATCTATTTTTGAACAAAAAAAAACAATGCAATATTATTTCTTTTGTTTATCTTTAGAAATTAATTAAAGCAAAAATTATTTCATTGGCATTCTTTTACTAATCCGAAAGAAACCATTTTATTGAAATTATATTATTCAAATCGATTGCCAGCTCGATCAGTTTTTCAAAATCTTCTTTCTTTCATTAAATTAGTTCGAAAAGTGTACAATGTTTAAAGGTATGGTTCAGGTATACTTACTTCTTAATTCATTTCTTGCTAACTTTCAACACTTGCAGACTAAATGTTTTTTCATTTCTTGAAATTCGTTAAAATACTTTTACAAAGTTACGAAAAAGAGATTATTTAAGCATTAACATATTGTTCATATTATGTACTTCAAATATTCCACTAATTAGTTTGTCATAAAATAAATTCAATTAGCTAATTAGCTACAGTATTTCGGATATTAATTTATAGTATAAATTATTATATATTGCAATTGAATATTTTTAAACATAAAGATTAGAACTTGAAAAATTAGCAAATCTTTCCATTTATTTCCTCAATACTTCTATTAGATTAAAAAAATCAATGTTACATTTGTGATGTATTTTGTTAAAGTTAACTGCAAAATATAAATGCTCCTGGATGTAACAAATAAGCTATAAGTGGAAAATACTTTAAAAGGCCTCTTATCTGACAATCTCAACAAATCCTATAAGTGATGATTTATTCTAGGCCATCAATATATTTACTCTTTATGAATAGCATGCTTACTAAATGGAGATAAAGAAATCTAAATTATTCTTTCTCTATCATTGTCTCGGTAACAGTCTTCGCATTTCCTGCATTGAATATAACAAAATTTGAGGTTCATTTTATTGATTTATTAAATACAAATTTCAAAACATTAAATTTATGTGTATTTTTCAAACTTTGAATGAAACTTGGCTAATTATAATGGAATTTATCAACTCTTTTTTAATGATTTCGAGGCCTTAATTGGGAAAATTGGTTCGTTATATGATAATATGTCTTATATTTAAATTAAATTTCGAATAGAAATCGAATTTCAAACTTCAAAGTACTGTGATAACTTAACTAAAATCTCAAGACAAAATAATTGAACTCTTAAAAAGAAAAATAATTATTTGATAACTATGTAGTATGAGGTCAGTAAGTAACTGTAACTAAACAATGATAATAATGTGTTGGAATAAAATGAATGAAATGCTTTGTAGAAGTAAATTGTTGAAAGTTCATTCCTAATGTTTGAATCTTTCTTTATCTCTTTCATCAGCAATGATTAGTCTTATTTGCTGTTAGAGTAGTAGTTCCGAGTAGTTTTAAGCTTAGATATTGAACTTCAACTAGATTTTGCAAAGGTCACGCTTTAATTTAATAAAACCGAAACCGTTAAATGGCAAAATTATTTCTAATTTAACCTTTGAATAACGCTTTCAAAACGCTTTTTAACTTTAGCTTAGTGTTTTTATCAAAAAACTGCCATTATCATTATCTTCCATTCAATAAAAAGCAATTGAAATTTTATAAAAATAACACTTTTAAGGTTAATTTAATGTAATGTGAAAATTAAAAATAATACATTATTTTAATTTGAATGTAAATAATTGGAAAATTAAAGCAAATACAATTTTACATATATTCTTTTTCACGTTTACTTTTTAGTTTTCCAAGTTTAATTAGCCAATAATAAGTTTATTAGCAGATTTTGGCATTTATATATGCCAGCCCAATTTTCTGCTACCACAGGATGTGTATTGTCTTGAAAATAATCTTTGAATTCATTTCATTTAAAGCTTTTTTTGTCTTTTTACGACAGATTACAACAAATTGATTTAGTCGGTGGATAGTAGCAACGACTTTGTTACCGAAAAGTATCTTTCTTTCTTAATAATATATTGCAATTGTAAATTATTAGTTTATTAATTTATAGTTAAAATTCACATAAGAAATATTGGTAAAAATTATTAGTAACTTTTACAATGATTGTCTTAGCAATTTCCAATACATTTATGTAATACTTAAAGATAAAATTTAAATTATCAAATTCAGAAAGAAAATTACTCATTTCCTACAACAAAATATTGTTCATCTTTTTACAATTTCATTTATTTCCGATAAATAAATGAATGAAAGCTTTAATAGATTGCTAGGAAATACCGGGAGCTTATGTTTAGAATTAGTGTTGACGGCTATCTTTATAATGGAATGCATTCACTGTTGCAATCGAAAGATTGAATGCATGTATACATCCGTGCACGCATGTAAGAAAGAACAATCAATGAATCTACTACTGTTATTTTCATGCATGCTAGTGATTCATTTAAAACCTAAATTTTTTCTCTTTCAATAAAGTCCGAGATGGCTCATAAGCCATGCATACTACAAAATTTTTAGATGTAAATAAATGAGGAATTAAGACGAATCCTATAATTTGTTCATATCACAAATCAAATAAACGGAGGAAAGAAACAATAAGGAAAAACAAGTCAAATAATACTGGAAGAATTAAAATAATTCAAATAAATGGAAAATACTGAAATTTGACGCTAACCAGCTTCAATATCAAATAGCTCAGTGATTTCAAATTTTAATTTGAAAAATTTTAAAACCTGAATTTTAGGATTTGAGATTTAAATTCAACTTTAAATGTTATCGCAAATATTTTTCTTTTCTACCTTGTCAAGTTATAGATAATTGTTTTTTTCTTACATCATCGATGAAATTTAGGTAACTCAGATGAGCTCCAGAGTGCAAGCAGCTTTGATCGCAAGTGCGGTTACTTCATCAAGCAAAGTGCCATATTCTGTTCATACGGAACGCCACCGCGCACCTGCTGCAGGTATCTATGCACACAGTCAACGGAAACACTCATTAAGTCCCGTATATTCTGTACGGCAAGGAACCAATGGTACCACATCTACTACCGGTGTGTCACATACTGATCGCCTTCAAGTACAAAAAATGTTAGTGGTATTTCATGTTCGAAAAATATTTGGGATGTTGCTGATAAGAAGTTATGATGTTTACGCGAGATTATAAGTGATGCTCAGGTAAGATTATTCAGGGAATAGATGATGTTGAGGCAAATATTCAATCATAAATGATGTCCAGATAGAATTCAGCCCGTGGATAATGTTTGAATAAAGATTTAACTCATAAATAATGTTCAGGTGAGGTTATTCGGATCATAAGTGATATTCAGATAAATATTCAAGCCATAAATATTTAGGTAAATATTCAAGTTAACTTCTACTCCCAGAATTCCTTAAATTCCGAGAGTGAAATTTTTTATGAAAAAATTTCAGCCGAATAATGCAATATCCTCTTAATCGGTTTTTTTGTCTATTTTAAAAATTAAATGAAGCAAAAATGATTCCAGTGGCATTCTTTTACTAACCTGGAAGAGTAAGAGAGATAAATATTAGATTAAGAAATTTCCTTCTTGAACTAAAGCAAAGTGTTGCTAAGAGTTTGTTGTTTAATTTGCAGTAAAATTCCTTTTTAAAATAAAGAAAAAAACATGTAATATATACTTTCTGCCAATGTATTCCACGTTTTTTTGTTTTTCCGTGATCGTTTCGTGAATTTACAGTCTCGAGATTGTTTTCACGTTGCAATAGCGTATAATGAATAATGTCCGATCATTTATGTTTATTGATGCTATAAGTTAGAAAAATTCTTACATATAATATATTATTACCTCTCTTTCATATTTCGAGGCTTACTTCAATTTTAAATGTAATCTATTTAGCATACTGATATGATTCCTGTACTCGATGCATGCGACAATTTAGCATGACATGCTGTTAATATGATTCCAACATTTGCTACAATGTAGTAGTTTAAGTAGCAAAAAAAGTTCTTACAATCATAAAACTTACAGATGACCTCAGCTGCACAACTGCTAGTTACAGACCTGATTATTGCTTTATTCGCAATAGAAATATATAAGAATAGACATTAATTCTCGGCAATCTCTAAGAATTGGACAATTTTTGACAGTAACAATGGTCATCTCTATAGTTGTTATTTGAAGACTTTTCCAAAAGTAGTATTGCTTTTTTCATCATTGCAAATGTAATTGAACTGTAAAACTTTAATCTTGTAAGCTTTAACCTTTCATCAGATATTTCACTAACGACAATTAACAATGGACTGTAAAATATACTTACTGTTCGTTGAAAAAAATTTCTTTTTTTGTTGAAGAAAATTGGAATTAACGAGATTGAACTTTGAGGTGTGATGAAGAGAATGAGAAATGACTGAAATATGATATCATTAATATTCTTTCAAAAGCAAACCAAACATTATCTTAATCTGTTTGTTTAATAAACTTTTAGTTGATTTTAAAAGAAAATTTTTACGAAGAATGAATATGTTTTTTTAGTAAGAAAGTATTGAGTTAATTTTTCATTTTCTCTCTTTCTTTAACTCATTTCCTATTTTTTTGTGCTGAAAATATATCCCTTCTCTCCATAACTTCCCTTCTATCCTTATCTCTCTCTCTCTCTCTCATAATTCCCGCAATACCGAATTTGATGAAAAATTTTTATTGCAGGATATCTCGTCTTACTTTGAAGTTAACATTTGTTTAAAAAATTCTATCAATGCTAAATTATCATTATTCTTGCATTACTAAAGAGGAATTATATTCAGAATTTGGAGAAATTTCAAGAATTTTTTTATTATTATTTGATAGTATTAACAATTTAAAAACTTTAATATCAAAGTATTTTGGAAAGGCATTCAAAGAGCATTATTAATGGAAGGGGTCGAGACACGCCCAAGTTAGAAACTTTTTTTGCTAGCTTATGCTTGAGAATTTTAGTGGTTTGCATGAAATAAAGTTAGAATTGAAATGCGGTTGGATGATTGCTATTGTCGTTATCATTGTTAGAGAGATAGATTGGATAATAGCGCCAATCAGTTTTGCATTCGGAAATTTTAACATCTTCACTTATATTTCTTTATCGATTATGTTTTTTGTTTTACAATATGCTTAAGAAATGGCAATCATTTTTTCTTTTTCCTTTTTTTGTTATTCATTTGCTTAATTAGTATTAATGTAATGGGTATTATCAGCATTATTGCTAGTGATTTTTGAATTCTGATTTATTCGGAAATATGAATCACATAATCCGGATAAAAGATCAATCAATAGCTGATTTTATTGACTAAATTATTCCGTAATCCTCCATTTTCCTTCCAAGGATTCCAATTTTCACTATGCATCTATGAGCAGTTGTGGCACTAAGGTAGGCGTTCAAATAAAGGCATAGTTTTGAAGTAAGATAAATGGGTTCTATCGATATTCATAATGATAAAGTAGAAGAAAGCGTTGAAATGCACTAAAAGTCAATCACATCTGCTGACCAAATGTTAATATTGTGGCTAACGTTATCAGTGGTGATAGTATACTGTTAATGGAAAACGATTAATGGACAAGGAAGATTCCGGATCGTATTCTTTTATTCGTTTTATTTCCGTTTATATGGACATACGAGATAGTATTAGCTAAAGCAACAGATAGTTCGCATTCTAGATTATCATTGTATCACACGCATGTTTCAAAATTTTTCTCGGAAGCGAATTCCGGAATTTATAATTTGGAAATTTTACAATTCTAGAAGTCGATAAATAGTGTCATGAACTGACAATTGCATTTTATTTAATCTATTCTATGCATTATCGATCACGTTCATCGATTGGTTCCCGGTGGTTACCAAGCAATTTACAGGATATTACTGAATTAAGGTATGGATAGTTAGGTCTTTCTAAAAGTGATATTATGTGGAATTTGTGTTGCTAACATAAAGCTGAATTTTTTATTTTCTATGTTGTGACCTTTGATAATGATATCTTTAAAGACATTAATTACTTTTACCAAAATTGCTAAGACTTCTACTATTACTTTAGCGAAAGATTAATTTTAATATGAACTGTCAACTAATTCTTAATAAATTTAATTTATTCCTCATTATTTTAAGTTCTCTTTTCTTATGTTTAAAGAAACTGAAAGATTTTTTGATGTTTGGAAATGCAAAATAACTTATCTTGCGGAACAAATATAAAACCGTTTCGACTTCTAAAATGATATTCCTTAAAATACCAAATACTTTTAGTACCAATTTTTGAAAAAGTTTAAAAATTTAGAATTTGAAAAGTTTTCCGAAAGTGCTTCTTTGGAATTGAAGCATAGAAAATAATTCAATCATATAATTGAAAGTATAAAATTTCTTTGGTAGGCGCAATAGTAACTGATATCTCCATTCTTAACAAAATATATATCCATCCATCATTATTTTTTCTCCTCTGCTCATCAAAATCGTTAGTTACGTCACTCGTCATTCATTATCACAATCTCACTTTCCATTTTCCTTTTGGCCAGAAAAACAAGCCAAGAGATGGTTTGTTTTTCTCTGGCCGGAAGGAAAATATTTGATCAGTTATGTAATATAATACATTTTCTCATTTGTTTTGCAACTTTAGTATCATATTATTGAATTGGAACAAATGATTTGCATTTCTTCTACTTTCTTACTGTTCAGTTTTGGAAGATTTAAAATTGCTGATATTTTAGAAACAATCAAGATTGAAACCAAATTAAAGTTGAATATGAGATCGGTGGATGAGAAATATCCTTTGTGAATTATCATTGACAATTAAAGTTGTTGGACTTAAGACACTAAAATTTAAGATTTTATACAAAACGATTTCGTTAAAATCAGATCGCTATTCTATTTATCATTTATGAGTAACTATTTCTATTGAAATTATCGTATATCAACATTTTTGCTTGAATTTGTGCCAAAAACGAGTCTTAGAGATAAAATTATTCCCGGCGATGAGAATAGCTTTGTTTTATCTCAAGATCACTTTATTTAAAAAAATCTTTAACTTTATGTTCGTACGATCAAGAATTTAATTCTTTCTAATTTATATTTTCCAATATTTTGAAAATAATCCTGAATGATTTAATTAAGATATACATTACAAATTCTTATATCGATCTTGGTAGTCGGGATCCCATTATTCATCGATATAAATAAGATATGCAATAGGAAACAAGCATTTAAAAAATATGAATAGATTTGAATATCAATGAAATACCAAATATTCATATATGGTTTTTAAATTAGAGAGGGATGGATGGATAGAGAAGAGAAAAAATCTGACTGCTTGTTGATGTTTAAATCAAATAAGAACTATTGAAAGCTGCATTTTTGGAAATGAAAAAAATACATCTCCCTTGTGATATATCCATCCCAATAAAAGATTGCACTTTTTATTGGAATTCATCCTATATAAAGTTATCCTATTAGTAATAGCTTTGGAAATCGAGAGTTCGATCAGGTGGAAATTTCAATCTTTCCCTCTTATTATATTAATAACATAACTTATGGCTCAGTTTTCATGCCTTAATCAATATTATTCATTTGGTAGGCCTAATATTTGCTCTTTAATTTTATCTGTACACAAATAATTGATCATATCACAGTCCTTTTATTTTTGCATAAAAAAGAAGAAATATAAAAAAAACATTTAAGAAGATGAAATAGTACAGTATTCTTGAAATTTAGTTTTTTGTTGCTGATTCATTACCGTAAATTATAATTTTTTTGAACAATAAAGAATCTGAAAATAAATCTTATAAAAAATTCGGCAGGTGATATGCCAAACATTTCACGCAATAATTTTCTTCATTTGATATGTTCATTAATATTGCTTTCTTTAAGTTAATAATTAATTAGTACTGAAAATAGATGTTTTGAAATAAAATGAAATGAATAGCTGTAATTTGAATACTTTTCACTTATCCTTGCTGTACTTATTAATTTTAAACCTGAAAGAATAACTTAAACAAATTGTGCTGTCGAAATTGAAATTATTATATTAAAATGAAATGCGAATTTTTAGGTGATGGAATTATTATCATAGCAAAATAAATTGTGAAATCAAAATTTAAACGAATTCTACAACGAGTTGTTTTGTTGAGGATTTTGAATATGTTCGAATTAAAATTTATTCATTGAACTATT